GCAAGAAAGCAAGTCTCAACTGGAGACGAAGGGGAAGAGAGACAGATGGAGACGCAGACAAACATAAATCATGCAGAGCAGAAAGAGTTTAATTTGGTGCACTTATGAAGATAAATGTTAGTGTCTCTTTTTTCGCTGCTTCTATATAAAGTGGATGGAAAAACCGGTCAAGATCTATGAATTGAGCTGTTACTTAAGCCTCCCAAAAATCAATATTCAAAATGCTTGGTCAAGCTTTACTGACTGTGTGTGTGTGTCTGTCTGTGTGTGTGTNTGTGTGTGTGTGTGTGTGTGTGTGTGTGTGTGTGTGTGTGGCGTGTCGACCAATTCCCCGGGCCAAAGTAGGGCAGGAGTGCCTGGCATCGACTCAGCTTCCTGCATGAGTGACCTGAGGAAACAGTGTGTGTGTCTGTTTGTGAGTGTGTGTGTGTGTGTGTGTGTGTGTGTGTGTGTGTGTCTCCGCCCTACAGCAAGCTGCTGTCAAAGGGGGGGAGGAGCAAAACGAACGCACCAGCGAACGAGACATAGAGAAAGAGGCGAGTGTAGTAGAGAGAGAGAGTTAGCATCTGTTGTTTTTGTGGCAGCTGAGCAGCACTGGACTGATTTTACACACACACACACACACATTTTTCCACTGTGCTACACACATACCTACACACACTTTTATTGACACACATTCACATCTCTCTGCTCTCTCACATGCTGGATCCAGCGTGGACCTGGTGTTAGATCTTCTCCAACATCTCTCTCTCTCTCTCCCACTCTTTTCCTCTCATTCACATCTCGGGACTGTAAGCTTCAAACCCCACTCTCTCACGCACAGACACTGAACTGAAAGCCTCTGTTGCCGGCATCAAATCGTGGACGTTGGGGCTGCCTGTCTGCCAGCAGCGTGTGAGTACAGCTGAGAGGGAGTTGGGAGAAACAGACTTGAACTGATTTACTTGTTAACATCTTGCCTCCGGTAAAAATCCTGGCATCTCTGTTAAACATTGTTGACTTTGACTGTTTTGAGGAATAATGGTGAAGCTAATAGATGATTGAAGCAACCTGATCGGATAAATCTGTGGTGCTCTAACACTCTCTTATCCCTCTAATGACCACTGATGCAGCACTGATACGTTGGCTCTTGTCTTTGGTCCAGTGACTCTCAGTGTAAAAAATTATCAGTGATGTAGAAACTGTGCTGATTTCGTATCAAGCGATATCGTTTCATGTGCTGTCGTTGATTTCTTTTCTTGCTGTGGTACTTCTGCTCTGTCACTGGATTTGGTTTTAAGATGTGCAGCTCTGACTTCTCAGCATTAGCGTTCAGCTTAAAACAGAAGATGATCAGAGCTGCATACTTGGCAGCACAGGCTTTGTCTTTGACTTCAGGACTCAGTAGCACGAACACCTTAGCTGCAATACAGTCTTTGTTCATAGATCACAAAGAGGAATGTCTATCTGTAGCTCTACTGTATCTCTGCCTTTGTTTCCATTGTTTTAGCTGTCACTGATTGATAAACTGCCTTTATTCCTTTTTTTTTTCTTCACTGTAGCAAATGTGATTTTGCTGCAATACATCTAAGCTCAATCACAGTCATTAATCTGTTTCCTCTCGTCCTCCTCCTCGTTTCTCTCCTTTCTGTCCCTTTTCGTTCTGTCTTCTTTTCCCTCCTCCCTCTCTGTTTGTCTTTCTCTCTCTCTCTCTCTCTCTCTCTCTCTCTCTGGAGCTTAATCCCACAATGTTGCATTGAGGCAGTGTGTGTTGACAGGGACAGTTAGCTGCTGATGATTTCAAAGTTTGTATCTGGGGATTTCGATGTGTGCCGTACTGTGTCAAGTTGAAACAGAAAAACATTACAAGTGTTAATCCATCAATTTGGGATGGATTAGAGCTGATGTCGGTCTAAAACTGAACAATCCAGACTAGGCTCAGCAATGAAAATGTTTAAAATTAAAGGGATGAATTAGTAAATGTGTTTCGGCACAAGGTCACTTTGATTTTCCTTTTCATGGAAGGATTGGAGGCAGTTTTGCTTCTAAGTGATGTGCCACCCGATGATTTTGAGAGTATTTAAACCCAGTACATTCTGTCTGCATAAAATATGTATCGTTGAATTTAAAAGCAAGTCAAATACTAAACACTTAGAGGTGAATCTCTTAGCCAACAAACAGAAAGTCAATCAGTTCCTTTTCCAGAACATCAGTGTTTTGTTTTCCATTTGTAGCTGTGAAAAAAAGGATTATGGATCACATGCCTCTGAATATTTCAGTGATTTTGGAAGTGTGTAGCTTTGAGCTCTTTTAGCAAAGTTCAGTTGTTTGTGTCAGTTTGTCAAATTAATGAATGCTTTGTGTGAAATCAGTTGGGATCAGGGCGTTGTGAAGGGGAAGAGAACTCGTTAGAGAGGCAAGCGAAGGAAAGAGAGGAAAATCAGGAGACGCTGCAGGTTCCAGATCATTGTGTGTGTGTGTGTGTGGTGAGAGGGAGTGTGCGTGTATGTGGGTGTGAGTGCATGACCGTGTGTACCTCGAGTATGATTGAATTACTCAGGGTTAATTAGATTCTGTAGTCCACAGTAATGGTTTACGCACACACAGACACACACACACACACACACACACAGGGACATCCTTCAGAGGGGCTTTTTAAGGCTTATTGCCAGCGGCGTTGTCATCCATGTGTTAGTTCAGAGTTTTCTGGGAAGCTGTGTGGTGTTAAGCAGAGTAGAGGACAGTCAGTAAGGATTTATTACAAATATCTGCTGTTTGTTCAGCCACTCTGGATCAACACACTGCAGTTTACCGTCGTATACAGACAGCAAGTTGCTGGTTAAAAGTCTTAGTTTTCTGCTAAAGGAAGACTCTTTTTGTAGAAACCACGAGCTTTTATTCACATCAGCTGAAACATAATGTAATTTGTTTTTCCTCTTTGTGCATTTCCATAAATAATGTACATTTATAATTAAAGAGGCACAATGACATTTTTATGGCCACTAGAAAATGGGTCAGAAACTAAAGTGTCTTTGCTGGATGTAGCAGGAGGATACTAAAGCACAGGGCAGCTCTGCTGAGTGTATGAGCAAATCATTGCACTTTGCATTGATTGGCCAACTGGTTGCTTTCTCGCAATTTACTGCTTGTCATTCAAGGGAGATGAGTATACAGTTGTTCCTGGCAATTAAACTAAAAGTGCCCGTTTGAAAATTCATTGGCGTGTCCATGGGTCTGCACAGGTTTAGGATGGAAAAACTACATGCAGTGTAATTGCATTACAGTTGCAGTGAGGATGACATGTGATTGCAAACAGTTTACTAATTTTGTGGAAAATACTTTTTTTTTTTTTTCCCAATATGGGAATGTCTTTTTTGTTCAAATTCCAACATTGCGTGATTCCAGCACATCTGTAGCATTTCAGCCAAAGAGCAAATAAAAGCTTAATAACTCCATGATGCTGTGTCACACCACTGCTGAGCCACATCAGCATCACTGTGCAAAATCATTGTGCATGTGTAATGAGACTCTTGTATTCAGCGCAGACGCACCTATTTTCCACCTCCAGCAGCACATGTAAACAGCTGAAGTCAGATTTGTCTAACATGTCAAGCTGCTCCCTACAACAGCACTGAATAGACACAGGAGTTTATAGAATTGTAACACACTGTCTCACAAAGAAACTCTCACACAGGTTCATATAGGTCTGGTGCCCATGAACAGCTGGTTAAGCCAAGTCTGTAAAAGTTTTTGTGGACCCCTCTGCAGACATTGGTTGGCCAAAGTTTGTGTTACAACTGAGCTACAAGGGCAGCAGTGCATTCTCACCAGTCGTGTCCATGTGCAGAATACACACTGTAAATATGACCAACTGCAAATGTATGAAATGGAGTCCTCCAAGCAGAGACTCCAGCCGACAAAAAATCATATAACAACAATTGCACATCTGTGCTGTCTGTGTGCACTTCCACAAGAGAGTACAGTCGAGGCTTGTTCTTTTGCACTTCTTCCAGTAAGCGAAGATCAGCTGCGGTCCACATGATGTAAACCACTCGACACACATATATATGCAGCCCAACATTTCTGTCCGTGCAGCGACTACACTTTAGGGGCTATCGTGCACAGTGTGTATGCATGGAATATGTAGATGCACATGTATGGAACAGAGTCCCCCAAGCAGATTTTTAGCGGACTATAAAAGTAGTTTAGTTGAAATAACTACACGTCTGTCGTGTCCATAGCTGCCTGTGCGCACATCCACAAGGGACTATAGTCAAAGCTTTAGAGAAACAATAAACCAATCAGAGCTTAGTAGGTGTGAAGAAGAATGGGGACATGATTTTCCTGCATAGCTATGCAATGAAATACCATCCCAGTCCAGCAGACACTGACAGGGTTTGCCATCTCCATCATCACTGCAGGATGTATTTATCTTAATGAGACATTGTAAAGTCGCTCTTTGTGAATAATTAACATCCCGCATGAACAGTAAACACTGATTTTAGGGGATTTAAGTCTAAATCTGACTGTGATTGTGTGTTCTGGATTGTGTAAATGTGTGTGTTGGTCTGATGTAACAGGAGTTAATATTCACATCAAACAGACTATTAGATTATGGCTGTAGAGGATCCGTTGACAGCTCAATATGTCTGCATGTTCTCGGGTTTGTGAGTGTGTAAGTGTGCGTTGAGTGTTTGTAGCCAAACAGTATAATCCGGCGCTGGGAGAATCCTTTCTGCTCTTGGACATGGAAAATAAACTTCTTGCAATTTTTATCACTTCTCAAAGTACTTGTACTTGTTGCGGTAAGAGGCATTTGTAGGAAATCAAATCACTGCGTAAAAAAACCCCTCCACCATCCTCCGGGCTGTGTTTGTTCATGCCATGCTCTGTTAATGTGTAGTAACAGGTTGCGTGTAAAAACAGCTTAGACCATATTCTGTATAAATACTTAAATATCATCGTAAGTCTCCTGGGTCTAACAATGTTTGAACTCTTTGTGTTTCTGTGTGTGTTTGCAGAGTACAGTCGTTTTGAGGCAAAGATCCATGACCTGAGGGAACAGATGATGACCAGCAGCGTCAGCTCCAGCTCCACGTCGCTCCGCTCCACACAGAAACGCACACTTTACGTCAGGTACGACACAACACACACACACACACACACAGGACAGCCAGAGGGGACTGATTGTCCAGTGTCCTTCAGTGTGACACAACTATTAGAAGTCCCTTATCTCAGCTGTCTACTGTTTTGTGTGTGTGAGACGCTCAGATGGAGGTTATCACAACTGAAATCAGGAATACATTGTCTGGCCAATACTGTCTCACACTCAGACACAAACACGTGCCTCACCTGTCAACTGTGTGTGTGTCCTTTTGTCCTTGTGCCATTCCGGCCTGTCCTGGCTGCTCAGTCCATCATCCATCTCTGTGTTCCATCTGCAGAGTCCAGAAGCAGCTTCACACCTGAACTAACTACACTTTCAATGTCCTTTCTCCATAAGAATCACAGCATTTGAAATATCGATTTCATGCTGGGTAGCTGCGTCCATGTAAGTCAGCTCTTGGAACATCGATCATATGTAACACACACGTGTGGAAGACAAGAAAAGCGACACCAGTTAGGCTTTTAGGAAGATAATAAATAATATTTAGGGTATTTCAGTTAAGTTTAAGAGTTTTTCTTTGAATGAGAGAAGGCAACAACAATCAAACCAGCAAAATAAGCATTACTGGCACAACAGTTGAATTATTCTATACATCATATAGAAGCACAAACAGTTTCTCTCTGTGTAAAGTACTTTAAGAGCTCCGTCTCTGTCATAATGGTTCCACATAATTGTCAAGAAAAACCAACGGTTGCACAATTTAAAAAAAAAAAGAAAATGTAAGTCAGGCTTGCTTCCATAATCTGCTTGTGAGTGAATAAATTAGGCTGAGTAATGTCCTCTGAAGGTGGCAGTATAGGCTACGTTATGCATGACTGTAATAAACAGAGTAGAAAAAGCCAGATACAAGATCATTCATGTGCCAACTGCTAAAAAAAAAAAAAACATAAAAAAGAAGTGACACACACACAAAATAAAATAATATATCATCAGGAATTATGTTTAATCAGGCAAGTTCTAATTGTTCTTTAATGCTGGTTGGAATTGGCAATGTCTTATGCACAAACAGCTGACAAGCCAGATCAAAATTTCTTCAAGCAAAAGTTTTGTAAAATGTGGGTAGTTGTTGGTATCAAATGCAATATTTCAAAGTAAGTCAATCTAAAGGGTTCAAGAAAAAAAGTCCTTTGCACACAGAAATGAAGTAGGATGTAGATACAGCGGTGAGTTTTAAACTTGATTGTGGTGTGCACTGTGGCAGCAGCACCTCCACAGATCCTCCATTAGATTTATTTTGTAAGACATGAAAAGCAAAACAAACGAGAAGAAAAAAAAAAAAAAACTTTTACCCAAAAAACAAATGCAGGAAAATTCAGAGAAAACTCCTGCTGATGAGTTTATTGTCCATGAAAGGAACATCTGACCTGAACTGTGGCCTGGAAAGAAAAAGCAGCAGCAGCTGGGATGGAGTCATCTTCAGCAACACACACTCATTGACTCGTACATACATTGATTCAGACAGAGAGCAGAGCCGAGGTCAGAGTCTGTGCAGGGAGCTAGAGGTCGGAGGTTCAGCCATTTCGGAGCTGTGACCAACAAGTGTTAAACAAGTCAACATTTATCAGATGAACTGGTTCTGGTGATCTGAGTGAGGAACAGGCTGACTGATTCACTTATTCCTTCACTAGTAGTTTTTTTTAATTTCCTGCCACTTTTTTTCTTAGAGCTTGTTAAAGTGAGATGCCAGAGGACCCACTGTGTTTCTGCCTTGAATCTTACCATTAAAATAAATGATCCCCTCTGTGAACTATAGATCTAACAGTTAATTAAGAGGAAACTTGACATTACAGCTGCTTGCCATCAAGCTTGTTAAATTTTAAAGTAGTGAGCCACAGGCGTGATTATAGGTAGCGTGTATCAAATGTGTGACCACAGTTTTACTTGGTTTTGGCTAAAAGTAAAAAGAAATGGCTTACCCATTGTTCATTTAATGAAATCAGATAAGAAAAAAATCATCTACTGCCAGTTTATACACTAACTGTGCTTTTGTTCTGAAGAGCGCTTCAAACTGCTTTTAAATGAAATTCTGCTGTAGAATTTCATTTAAAACCAAATTTGATATTGGGTATGAAAGAATGCCTAACATCCTCTTGGAAGTTTCTTTCCTGAACAAAACACTTTGCAGTGAATTTTGTAGAGAAGTTTCACAGAAAGACATAAAGTTCTGACCAAAACAGACACCAACAAGTCTGAGAGTTTAGAACCACTGCGCTACACACTGACAAGCCACAACATTAAACTCACCTCCCCAGCATCGCGTAGGTCCCTGTTTGAACCACTTATTTGGCTTTTTTAGGTGATGTAAATCGTTTCTTTTGCCTGATGAAGTCTAATTATTTTGAGTCATTATTCTTGAATTTATTTAATTTATCAGATGATGGTGAGCTGTGATAGCAGAAAGAGGTGGGACAGAGCCTTGGTTTCTTGAGCAAAAAGTTTGAGAAACATGTAGAATTTGGCATTGGTACATTTTTTGACATAATATAAGACTTAAATGTTTGTTATCTTGTTTCAAGTGAGAATAAATCTACCAAACGAAGGCAACAAAACCTTCAGCGCCAGTGTTGTCATTTAGATTGTTTAAATATATAAGTCAGTTATGGTGTCAGAGAAGTTAAAAACTGGCCATCACTGTCCGTCCCTCTTGTGCCAGAAAGCAGCTCTAACCCTTCAGGGTATAGAAACAGACCTCTGGGGCTGTCCTGTGATGTCTGGTACTGGGACGTTGGCAGCAGATCCTTTGGGCGCTCTAGGCTGTGGGGTGGTTCTGGTGCCTGCCTCAGATGCTTGCTTAGATCTGGACCTGGGAGTTTGGAGGCCAAATCCATGCCTTGGGCTATTTGTGGTGTTCATTTAGTTGTTTTTACAGTGTGGCGAGGGGCATTTTCCCCCTGGGGGAGCCTGCTGGCATTAGTGAGTGCTGTTGCCATTGAAGGGGTTTTTACTTGTTCTGCAGTAATGTTAAGGTGGGTCTTATGTGTCAAAGTAACATCCATATGAATGCCAGGACTCAGAGTTTTCCAACAGAATATTACACTGAGAAGATGAAAGTTGTTCTGTTCACCTGTTAGTGGTTTTAATGTTGCGACTGATAGGTGTACACTGGCATGCCAACATGCTCATGATGACAATATTAGAATGCCAATATTTAGCAGGTATAATGTTAACATTTTTCACCACCATAATTTAGTGTATAAACACCGTAGACTGTATGTAAAGATGGACAAACCCTCCGTGAGGCTTTTCTGAACAGTGGTTTTGAAGCTCACTGTGGTGGCTCCAGCTGTCGGCCTCTTGGCAGTACCTGACTCTTTCTAAGTCCTGCTTAATCCAAACATGAGCAACAAGGGGGATTTGGAGTGGAGCTGAGTGTGCTGTGACACCACTCATCTGTTACTCAGAGAGGTCATGTCCTTAATTCTACATGACTTTAAGTCTTTATACAACCTAAACAGGTGACCTATGTACAAATCCCTTCCTTTATAGTTGCCATGAATGGGGAAATCAGCTATAGAGACTGAAACTTTTCTTGTATCAGGCTGTAAACATGTTTGTTTGTTTATTTTCTGTAAAGTTGGACATTTTAACATGAGGGTCTGTTGGTATGGACTCACTTTTGCAGCCAGCCTCAACTGGACGTTCGAGAAAGCTGCAGTTCTTGGCACTTCTAAGTTGTCGTCTGAGTCTAAAAATGTCACTGCATAAGTTAAATCATAAACCAATATATTAGACAAAGAAAAATTTCCATTTTCTATTCATTTTAAATCAGGACAGAGCTCAGGGAACATAAAATGGAAACCACCGAATAGATTTTTGCAAAGACAGGAATGTACGAATAAAGATTTAATAAGGACATTTGCATCTGTCAGGTATTTATGGTGAGACCCCCTATAAAGTAATCAGTTATCATCCTGAATCTTAATGATCAGCATTCTGAAAGTCTTCGAAATAAGACTAGAATCATTTTAAGGTTACATAGAATATTGAAGTAACCACTTCACAACCCCCACAATAAATCACTGTCAGATGAGAACTTCCTGTGTCTGGTTACTGCCCTAAAATGACCAATCAGCATGCTACAAACTGGCAGCTAATTGGTCGAGCTGCAGTTGTTGGTGCATGACAGATGGTGGGTGTCTGGTGTTCTGGGCTGTTGCTGTATTTCCATGCATGTACGTAAGTGTGTGTGTTGTGTTTATATTGTTTGTATATGTTTCATGTGTAGAAGACAGACTAACCTTTCCTCAGAGGAAATGCCACTGAAACAGCGTGACATATGTCTGTCACACCATTACAGTCTATTTTAAACACACTGTGTGGCTCGATAGCTTAGCGTTGTAATTGTATAGTTCACTGCGGAATGACTCACCTGGAAAGGCAGGGATTGCTGTAGAGTCAATGATAATGAGATAAAGTCTCATCTCCGCTAAAGGTGTACAGTGTATTTTATATGCTCAATTAATTTTTTCTATTAACTTTTTTTTATTATTGTTATCCATTCATTCACTGTTTTTACATATCAGGATTTGTTTGCTATCAGGGAAACAATAGAAGAAAAAAAGAGTTCAGAGTGCCAACTGAAATAATGTTCATTCTGTTGAACCCTGCTGGTGTTATACCTAATAAGGATCAATACATTTATAGGAAAACATGCTGCATTGATTGAGTCTGGGGTTTGAGGCGTATGAAGACTTAATGCCTCGCTTTGCACTGAAAACCAATACCTGCTGTACTGATTCCTGGAGCAGATATCAATTACGAAATATTTTAAAATACTTCAGGACACTGGATTCTTGAAACTGAATATTGTGGTTTTAAATAGCTTGAAGGATTTTTTTTTTTAATGGATGTAATGGAGCGTATTTTTCCAGTTAAAGGTTTTTTTGTCATCCAAATCAATTATTGAAGCATGAAGGACATTGTATGGCTGCTTCTTGGAAAATTGGCATCAAAAATTGGATTTGGGGCTTTTTGTATAACATTTACCACATTCAGAAGCACATATGTGAAATAACATTTTACTCCAACCAAAATAATCCAGCTGCAGTTAACTACAGATTTCTGGGGAACTCCTATAGTCAGATGCATTTTATAGTGGAGATGTAGAGATGCTTTTCAGCATGAAATATGACCCTGTGTGAAAATGAAGGAGGAAAATGATGTTAAATGTTTCTGTATTTTAACAGCAACATAAGCACTAGTAAACTGTTTTCTTTAGGCTTTGTCTTCCAGGATGTCCATGTCAACTACAGACACAAAAATGACATCTGGAAAAGTTAATTATATGTTTTGTTTGCCGCTTCCACCCTGTATTAATCTTGTTTGGATGGGGCTTTACTTGAATTTCACAGTTTTGTCTTAGACAGCGCTATCACGCAGCATTTTTCGCCCTGAGTTTTCACCTCTGAAATAAAGTGCACATAAGCAGTAATACTATATGAACACTCAGTACAAAGTTAAACTGCAGTACTGTTGGAACAATGCGCTGCTGGCTGTGCAAAATCATGCTGTACATTATTGTTTAAAACACCTCTTGTAAAATGTGCTTAATGTAATTAAACTGTGTTCTCTCACTGGAGTAATCCCTGTGAGGTTTCTGCAATACTCAGAAGAGGTAATTGATTTAGAGACACATTTACAGCTGTAGTCTTAATAGTTCTACACACCATCCATCAGTGTAACCTGCTGGCTGCAAAACCATTTGGGATGCCTTGTTTAGTTTTTGCTTCTTCTTCTTCTTTTTCTTCTCTCATCCTCAACTCTGCAGTATTTTAGCATTATTTATACGCTTACATCTGACACCTGCCTCTGACTGCGTGTATCTGTGGACTGCTGATGTAAATGCAGCCCTGAACGTTTTGAAGTATTTCACATACCAGGATTGTACTACATCAGTATTCAGTGCAGAGTTAAACTACAAACACCGCATTAATGAAATCGTTAACTTTTCAATTTCCATACACACGCTGTGATAATTGCGGTCTGTGTTCCTGTTACCCACTGCAGTAATTAATGCGCGCCCCTTCACTCCAGTTGTCAGATTTCAAAGGTTCCCACATAGGAATTAACGTGCCTGTAATACGGAGAGCCTGTAATTGATTCAGAGTTACATTTACAAAGCCGTGGCCTTAATAACTGTACATGCATCTATCAGTGGAGCCAGCCAGCTGCAAATTCCTGTGGGACGTGTGGAGCCGTTTGTTTTTTACTCTCGCTAAGACTTTTCTTAGATAAGCATTGACTATGTGGAGTTTTCGTGAATGTAAAGGTAATCTTTTATTACTAAAAAGTCTCCACTACTGTAAGTGTAATAACACTTTGATAACATTATGATGTTTTTTTTTTTTAGTCCTAGGAAGTTTGCTGCAGAGATTTTGTAGTAATTCTGAGGGTGATCAGCTGGTCAAGTTAACTGCAAATGCTAAGTTATCGAATCCTTGAGACTTCTAGTCAGGGGGCAACAAGGTAGTTTAATGTGACTTGTGTCTACAAATAAACAATTAAGAATACCCTTGGAATAGTTCCAAGTAGTAAATGACTGATGAAGATATATTTGTTAGGGTGCAAACGGAGCAGTTCTTTTAAGGAAATTTCTTCTAGAAATTCAATGATGAAGTCAACACAATTAACAAAACTAACAAATATTTTATCAGCAGTTAATGTGAAACTACAAAGTTATTTCTAGGAAACTTTCAAGAAATAATTAAAAAAATAATATAGCTGTAAAAGCAAACTGTCAGCAGTTATACCTGCTCTTTCATCAGCCCAGTTTCCACTAGTTCATCTGATGTGATCATCACTGTCATTTACCGTTATCTCTGAAGCAGCTAAATTGGGAACAATGACATCCAACCCAGTTGAAGGATTTAACCCGTAAACCTTCTGTTCATAAGATCATATTCCTGTTAGACTACATTGGTACACCTTATATGACAGTAATTAACTCTTATACACATTCAGTCTAATGCAGGCTGTCAAGCCTAAAATTAGAGTGTCCTGTGTTCAACAGTCTTTTTTTTGCTGTTTATAATCTTGCATCAATAAAACATGGGAGGTGTGTTTTTGTTCTGATGTCAGGCTCTCTGCCGGCTCGTCTGCCTCTCTGTCTGATTTTCTACATTCCTCTGTTGGTTTCTCCTTCTCTGTCTCTGTTCTGTTTTATTGATGAAGGCAGTAGGGACTTTAGGGGATGCCGGTTATTTCAGCTCTAGTTCCTTTGCACGCACACGCACACACACACACACACACACACACACACACACACACACACACACACAGTCACATTCATTGCTGGCCTACTTTCCCAGGTCTTTTCCCTCTGGATGGGTTTGGATCTCTGTGGTCACAGAGACAGATCACTGTTCAAACACACACACAGCATTCACAGGGACACACCGAGGCACACAAATAGACTAACTCGCACACAGACAGATGTGTACAACTGCATACAGAAGCATGTGGACCCAGACAAGGTCATAAATTAACAGTGTGGTGAAGCCGTCCTTAGCTGCCCTCTGCTTTTGCTTACTACAGTAGATTTCTCAGTCTCTCTTTCTTTGTCATTTTTCACCATTTTTTAATTGTGTTATATATTATAATTTGTCAGCCATAGAACAAAATGTGTCTTGTGATTTTATTACTACAATGTAAAATAAAAGGTCATCATCATCATCATCAGTGTCACTAAATGAATGACGGACCTGTGTGTGGCAGGAGAGAGCAGGACTGTAAACACTGAAGTTGTGTTTTTGACTAAATGTATTGTTTGGTTCTGTGTGTCTGCAGGGCGTTGTTCGACTATGACGGAAGTGCGTCAGATCTGGGTGCACCCAATCAGGCCCTGCCGTTTCATTTCGGCGACATCCTCCACGTGAGCAGCGCAGGCGAAGAGGAGTGGTGGCCCGCCCGCCACCTCAGTCCCCCGCCCCCAAACTGCCCTGAAGTCGGTGTCATCCCCAGCCGCCGGAGGTCAGAGTTCAAAGGGTTTTAGGTTTATCGATTCACATTACATTTAATGAAGTGAAGACAGTCAAATTGAGGCTGTCCCTGCACTCACTTATTGCACACTCCTCTCACTGCAACATCTTCACCATTTAAAGTCAAGCTTCAGTATTCACCGTGTAATAGATTTAAAACATACACGAGTAGCGCATGAGATTTGATCAAAAGATTGACTGTTACACAAGTCGGGCATTGACGTTACAGTTTAAACCCACAGCCAGATGAGCCGGATGAGCCACATGTTACATATATCCTAATTTGCAGCCATGAGGGACAGACTTTGACACAATAAATTATGATTTAAAGTTCATGTAAAGAAACAAAACAAAGTTGGTTCCCTTCTCATTCCCTACTTCGATTACTGACAGAAGTAAAAAGAAAAACAAATCGTGTACAAAGGCCAGTGATGTTCAGTTTATAAATCCTGTTGCTTTCTGTGCACATCGTTACAAAATTCCTCCCTTTTCTATGAGATGCAGAAATCTGTTCAATATCAGAGTGGAGGTCCATGCACCATGTTCATGCAGATCCATAATTTGCATGAGCATAATGACACACCAAGATTTGTTTTTTGTTACAGATGCAAAGTGTGTTTGTCTTTAAAACTTAAATAATTTACCATAATTTTAACATAATCTGACTGAGAATGTTGTCTGCTGCATACTAAGCACAGGACCAAACATTTGGTGAGCACTTAAAATAAAGACAACTTGGCAGCTGTTTTTTTTTTTTTTTTTTTTTTTAAACACAGCTTCCGCAGTTTCAAATTACTCATCAAATTGGGTTCAGTTTCACATTTACCGTGTCATTTTTTCGGATCACTGCAAGCATCATCATTATGTGGAATGTGCTGAATTTAATCCTGTGGTGGAAATAGACAAACTTTCCTACTTCTCACCTCTCTCTCTCTCTCCCTCCCTGTTTCCCCCGAGGAGGAGGTGACAGACAGAAGTTGATAGGTTTCTCAGGTGCAGGGGGGAGACAATTTCGAACAAGTCATGTCACCATCCGTGACACTGAGGGAGGTGACGACAAAGGGAAGGAAAGAAAGTGAGGGAGTGTTAATTTACAGGGAGTTGGCGAAAGTGGGATGGAGGGATCAAAGGAGCAGGGGAGAGATCAGCACATTGGGGTTTGATGGTGAGACTGAGGTGTTAGAATAGTGACTCATTCCTTCTGGCTAATCAAACAACTATATTGTATTGAAAGGCTACAAGCTGAGTCTTTTAATTTAACATGTCACACAGTGGGGTTTAAAAAACTAATGAAAATGAAAGAGAATATTAGACTACATCTACCAGAGGTGTAGATATTACAGGAGTTGTTAAACTGCAGGATATGAGGTTGAACGTGCTGCATTATGAATCATTAGAAGCTGCTGTAAGTCCAGATCTGCTACGAGGAAAGTTAATTAATAAAACTGTCTTTTCATAAAGGGCTGTTCTCTGACATCAACTCATTTCCCGTCTTTTCTCCTCTCCACTTCTCCTTGTCCTCTATTACATTTCTCTTCCTTTTATATTCTCCCTACTCCTCTTTGTCTCATCTCCTTCTCGGCATCCTCTCCTCCCCCACTTTTTTCCTCTCCTCCTTTCCTCTTCTTTTATCTTCTTCTCCTGTCTGCCCTTTTCCGCTTTCCTCATTCTCATCTAGTACTTGTCCTCCTCTCCTTCTCCTTCTCTTACTGCTCCACCTGCCTCGTCCTTCCATTTCATACTTTCCTCCCCTCCTCCCCTGACCTTATCACCCTATCACTCTCCTCTACTCCACCTTGTCTCTCCATCTCTCTCTCCTGTCATCTTGGTCTGTACCTTTCTATGTTAAGCGATGTGAGATGACGTGTTGTGAATTTGCGCTATATAAATAAAACTGAGTTGAATCTTCTCTAATCATCCTTTTGATTCTCTTTCTGCTCTACCTGCTTCTTTTTCTCAATATCCTCCTTGTCTCTTTTTTACTCATCCTTCTCTCTGTCTTCTCGTCATCTTTGTGCTCCACCTCCTCCTCTCTCATTCTCTCCTCTCTTCTCCTCTTACACTCCACTTATCTTTCAACTTCCTTCTTTCCTTCCTCTCCTCCCCCCCTCTGTTATTCTCCCTCCTCTTCCTCTCCTTTTGTTTACCATCTTTCTGTATTATCTGTTCCTCTTTCACTCATTTCCTTGCCTCTTTTCATCCTCCTCTCTGCATCCTTCTTGTTTTTCTGCTCCACCTCCTTGTTCTCAACTTACTCTCTCTCGCTCCTATTCTCCTTCCCCCCTCTCCTCTTCCTTCTTTCTTCATTCCTAATTATGTTATTTGAAGTAAATATTTAAAAAAAGAAACGGGGGACTGGGAGCATAGAAAGGCAGGGCTGAGAGGAGAAGTAAAGGCTTAAGAACTTATTTCTAAAGGTATTGTTTGCTTTTAAAGCCTTCCAGAGTTAAGATCCCATCAAGCATTCAAAGTAAAGAATGGCCTCCAGTTTAACATGCTACTTTTAGTTCTTATTGTATTTAACTGTCAACCTCATAGCTGCTGGTCCATCAGTGGCAGTAGTTTGGATGTTTGCAGACGTTTGGAGGCTAAAAGCTGCATTATGTAAGACTCTGTAGGAAAACACATCTGGCTTTTCAGTCTAAATTAAAAGACGAGGCTTCAGCAGAGACACAGTATCCAGAGATTCATCTTATTTGAAATTCTGGTGTTGGATATGATCACCAGCAGGAAATGGTCCTGCACACAAAATGACAACTCTAAATATAAACTCAGAAGACGACAGTGTCTCCACAGCAGGAGCAAACGCAGGTTTTATATCAGGAAAATGTCTTTTGCAGTCTGGTGCTGAAATATGTGAATCTTGTCTCTTTCTTTCATTACTTTGTGTTTGCTTTATGGTAATCACGGCCCATTCAGATTAGTGGACATGAACATGCTATATGCTCTTTACTGTCAATTTCCATAATATCTAGATATTGAAGTCCACAAATTATTCTCTGCTTCCTCTCAGTGCTATTTAAAAGTCCCTTATCTCATAATGATGCTCAAAGATATCAAAATTCTAATAAAGTGAGCTACGAAATGAGTTTTCAAATAAAGGCATACTGTGTAATATTTTTTTACCTCATTTGCATTTGTTTAGATGTGAAAAGATCTGAAACTCAAGCTGTCAGGTCGAAATCGTTCTACACTTTGAGGGTGAAAGATGTTTAAGATGCTTGTGATGATTTCAGATTTACGGCTTTGATCTGTCAGACAGAAAAAACAGCTTGTGAGGGAAAATCTTTGCATCCTGTCTCTGCACGTCTCTGAGTGTTTCGCTTTTGTCTTTTGTTTTACTCACAGGGCAGAAAAGAAGGAGAGGTCAAGGCTAAAAACAGTCCGAGTGACGAGGTCTCAGGACAGATCGGTGAGTAGCACAATTGGTTATATAAGCCATTTGCCAAAAGCACTGATGCGTTTACCAGTGTTTAAAGTGAGCAGCTTGTTACACCATCAAGCAGATTTCATAAAAGTAAAATCGGACTAATATGATAACTGTTTTTCTGCCAAGTTGCCTATGTACGTCTCTGTGATTGAGCCGAGTGAACAGACCAGTTAGATGCAAAAGCTAAACCCCCTGCTGTACCAAACACATGGACTGGCTCTGCAGGCTTCTCATCAATCCAGGATACTCAGTATAGCAAGAAAATGTCAGAGGAAATAACAAGTAAAGCTGAAAAGATTAGTCATTCCCCAAATACTGCCAAACATTCTCCGATTTCATCTTTCAGATAGTTACTGTTCAATTACTGATTTTCTTTGTCATATTGGAAAGTGAATTAAACATCTTTGGGGTTTGGACACTTGCTTGGATAAAACAAAGCATGCAGACATCCCCTTCAGTCTTAGAAATGACTGTTGGTTTCCACTGTTCTCTGACATTTCATAAACTAGATGATCAACTGATGAGTTGAGAAAATGACACATTGATTAGAAAGCTGATGAACATAAGTGCAAAACGTCTGTTCATCGAGAAGCCTCGGACTCTAATCGCTTCTCACAACATAAAGTGTAGTACAGTGTTCCCACTTGCTCCAGATCTCAACTGAAAGTTAAATGCTGACATATTAAGATGCTATTAAAGCGAAGCATGACATTGTGTTATTTCCCACTTGTCCAGTTAGCAATATGCACATTGTGTCTGTGTCATTAATCAAATCTAAGTTGTGTTAATATGAGAGCACAACAACCAGCTATGTCAAATATTAATTAAATGTGGTTATAGCTTCGAGAACAATCATGTATACTCAAATATTTAAAAAGAGGGAGCAATAAAAGATTAATTTAATTGTTTGTTTGGTAAAAGCGAGACAAGAGAACTACATTTGTGTTGAATATTTTATGCATTGGGAAATTGCACAGAAGCAATTTCTGGCACAGTGTCACCTAATTCCAAGGTGGATACAGAAAGCAAATACTTTGAAGAAGTAAAACTCAACATTTATAATGTGGAAAAACACTGTGTAACTGTAGGGTAATTGGTAAGTGTTGTGTTATTTTCTACCGAAGCTAAGGCAACATGTCTTGTGGGAAAAGTTGTAAAAAAAAAAAAAGTTACTTTTTCCGAGCCTAAAATGGAAATCAACCAGTACAAAGAACAAAACCAAACACAGTAGACACCAGGGGAGACAGAGAATGGCTGACTGCCACCAACTTATGTGGGGGAGCCAAATCACATGATCTGAATCCCCATGATAGCCCGATAGACCTTCCCAGAGGGCCGTCAAGCAAAATTGTCAAGAAAAACAATACAAGTAAAGAATAAACAAGAACAGAGTTACAACACACATCCATAGGCACTTTGGTGTTTCAATAACAGTGCACAGATTTGTGGTAGCACTGGTGAAACAGCTGACAATGTATTCCAAACACAGACTGTGCTGCACAGTAAAAACAACAGCTTCAGTTGTTTCAGTGAATGGGGGAAAAAAAATAAAATAAGTTGTTTAAGTTTAAGTGGCAGAGCAATCCAGCAGCCTCAGTGATCATGACTGCTGTCTGTCAGTAGAAGCAGAGAAAGCTTTGAGAAGGTGGGGTTGTTGGATGGCTCCACATTTTGACATGAAAGTCACCAAAATGCTTACGATATTCACCCAACTACCAACTATAGTTTGCTTTAACTATGATGATGGTTGTTTCACTGTTGTCCAAGGTTGTATTGTAGAATCTCCAATATCTTCTTTTGACCTAAGATTATAAAAGTTACTGCTATTTATAGAGGTTTTGTGGTGAGTCTATGAGTTTGTATTTTCAAATTATTTCTTTCTGATAGACAGCACAGAAGGATTTTCATAGAGTCCTATAAAGGTGAAATATAATCGTTGCTGATACTGAGATAGTTGTTTTCTCGTTCTTATTTGTCAAGTCACCTAGTTTTAATTGTGTGTTGGTGGGCAATGACCTTCTAAACCAGTGTTGTACTTTCCGAGTACACAGGGGTCCACATGAGGTAAATTTCATCATCTCCCCAAGTCGTGATAATCCGCTCTACGGATGTCCATGTGCAGCACAAAACTTCTGTCCATGAAGTCAGTCATCACAATAATATTCCTATATTTTTTCAGTTTGTAATTAACTCTAAAGAATCTGTCTAACAGTTGCAGTTTCTTTGTTAGTAACATCTAAACCACTTGTTACCAGGAAAAGTGTTGGTGGGTTCACTACTAATTAAAAACTAGTTTAAGTTACACAAATTTCCTTTTTGTTACTTGGATGTTTAGGATCTAGAAAGTTCCTGTCTGAGTTCACAGGCGAGGCAACAACGTGACTTTAATCACACTTCACACAGCGCGATGATGAGAGCTGACACACTGGTTTAACACGAGCTATTGATATCACTGTGTTGTCAGCTCGCTCTCTCGCTCTCCGTCTGTTTTCTTCACACTGTGTGAATCAGCAGCTCTGCGTGAAGAGATGATAATTAAAAATTATCTCACGCACACACACACAGATACACACAATGTATCCCTTGAAACCATGCTTTGAAAAAGACTGAAATTAGTCTTGTTCACTTTAACTGTGTGTGTGTGTGTGTGTGTGTGTTAGCAATAGAGAGCCCATGAGCTTCTTTCTAACAGGGCTTCTGGTGATAACAGTCAAGATACTGTTATGATCGTCTTCGATATGATGATTAATGCTCTCTCTCTCTCTCTCTGTGTCTCTCTGTAGGATCAGGATGATAAAGGTAGGTATTCTCTCCATCAGTGACACCTGCTGGTCAGTATATGTAGCTTCACCTCTTGTCAAGCCCGACTGACACTACTGTGTGGTGTCAGTTTCTGCCCAACTATTATCTTTTCTCATTATATCCTTCTGTATTCCTCCTGCGCAGGATAGTTCTGTACAGTTAGTTCATCATTCTGGTAATATGTAGGCTTTTTACCAACAGCTAATTTACAGTTCACAGCCCAAGACTCGCCAGCGAGAAAAGTTGAAAACCTCTGTAATAGTCCACAGTTCAGTGGTGGCCTGCATGAAAACAACACTAAGGTGCTGTTGGGAGATAAAATTCAGAGTCCTACTGAGAAAAACACCTTCTGAAGTTAATATTAAGATTCAACAGTCTGAGCTCTTCAAATCAAGTGGATGTCATCCAATGCTTCAATTTTATTTGCACCAAATTCCCTTTTTATACCAAAAAGATTGATTTCCACTTGCTGAAACTGCTCATGCCAAATTTTCATAAACTTCTGAATATATTTCTACACAAAGATGTCTGTGGGTTTTGTCTCCCATCACTCACAATGAAGTACAATGTGTCCCAAGTTAAAATGCTGGATTCATAGTTTCAGTTAGGTTTATCAAGAACATGTATGTTAAGCAGCTAAAGTAAAGCAAAATGGGATTTGTCAGTTTTACATCGTTATGTGTCATTCCATTGGATTATTGCTGCTGATGCATAAAAATGTGCCTCTAATTCAGCATCAGGCTGTGGTAAAGCTAATCTTAGTCATTCTACACACCTTTGTTTTCTTGTAAGAAGTACTTTATGTGTTCATTTTCAGTTTTTTAAATCTTTATTTGTAAAGTAACTTGAAACTATAGTACAGAAGTTAAAGTAGCGGATGGAAGTATATCAGAAGTGCACTTAAATACAGTAGTTGTTTAATTGTACATCCACACAACACTAATCTATTAATTTCCACACACAGTCAAAAAATGTAAGATTCTTTGATGCTGCCTTTTAGTCCTACGTTTTCCCAGAGTCTCCTTTGCAAACACCTTTACAAACTTACTAGAAAATTAAATCCATTTAATGGCATCACAGTTTCTTTTAATATGTAGTTTGTTTGGGGTTTTTTTCAGATATAAAAGAGGAGGGAAGCAAGACAATAGTTTTTAGGGGTAGGTACCTTAAATAAAATTAAAGAAAATGTCAATGCTAACATGCACAGTAGATACACAGATATGTGGCTCCAGCTTTGGGGTTTTCGTGTTTGAACATGATAGTACCTACCTGCACAAAGCAGGTCTATCAGTCAGTGTGCCAAAAAAAAAGAAAAAAAAGCTATAATAAAATGACCTTCTGCCTTCCAAGGACTCATACCACATTAAACCATTCCCTGTAACAAGGGAGCTCCACCAGAGTATTTACTAATAATAATAATACTTACTACTAAATACGATTTCTCACCACAAGCACTACTACTGCCTCTCAGCTTGTCTTACGTCAGACAAAATAACCTCTTCTGATAGGAACCTGTCAGAACATTCTCAGTTTTGCCTGAGACTTCAGTGTTTAACAGAATGATTGCATCACAAGCTGGAGATATAAAGTTAGAAAAAATGGCTTTATGGAAGGACAGTACAAAACTTCCAGAGAACCTCTTTAAAACGTTCCTTTATTACATTAGCACAACATGCAAGACAACTTTAGCTGCTACTTTCTGAAATGTTTTGTACTTTTAATGTGTTAAAGTAGAAATCTTAGAAGACTGTAGTTTTCAGGTCTCCACATACTTTTGTCGATGATAAAGATTGTGCAGCGTTCACAATGTAGAGTGAATAAGCAAATGTAGAAAACAGACGTATCGACTGATTTTGTTTTTGTGTCCATGATTGTGTGATGCAGAAAGAATGCAATTTTTGTGTGTGTTTGTCTGTTTGTGTGTGTTTGTATGTGTGTGTGTTGCTGACTCTGACCTGTCTTGTCCTTCCAGAGCTGGTAACCTCTGGCACCAGCGATAGTGAGAGTAGTTCCTGTAAGTGTAGACCCTCCTCTGTCCTTCTCTCTCTCTCTCTTTCTTTCTTTCTTTCTTTTTCCTCTCACTCACTGCTCACTCTGTTGTCTTCTTCTTCACTGTTTGTTTCAAACCTCAGCTGCTTCATGCAGCTGAGGTCTGTGTGTGTGCGTGTTTTTCTCTGTGTGTGCTTGTGGGTATGTCATGTATACATGCACATGTGTATTTGTGTGCCGATTATTGTGGTTTTATGTGCATGTGGGTGTTTGTGTACAAGTTACCTTCACTCTGCTTCTCCAGCCTGTTCTTCCAGAGCTGTTGAAGAAGTCTGCTCCAAAAGTAGAAACGGGCAAGAGTGTGATTTGTTGTCACTAATCCATCCTCTGTGTCTCTAAATGTGTGCATCCTCTCTGTCTGAACAGCTGGCCAGGAGGAGGCCTTGCTCACCTACCAACCTGTCATGCAACAGGAAGGTCAGTCCTGACTCATCCTCATTTTGTTTGATTTGTTCCAGGATTATATTTTTTGTTCTGATGTCAGTCGGCTTGTAGTCTGACTCACCAGATGTAGCCTGCGAGTATAAGCCTACTGTTGGCTGCACATTTCAGGCCGCTTTGTCTTGTTCTTTCGCTGTCTGCGAGCCACTGTTTTTAAAATCCACGTTGAAACAACAGCAGCCTCCAAGCAGCTTCTCCCACACTGGAAATGTAAAGTTTTGCAGAGGATTTGGGTCGTGTACTAAAGCAGCCCTGCTAGCTTATTTTCTGTGGATTTTCCATTTTATCGACAGTGATAATCTTCCCACTGCAAATGTTCCACCAAACAATTCCGCCCATCACTGTTTTGAGGAAAGATAGTAAAATTACCCCAAAAAAGCCCAAGGCTCATAAGGTTAAAGCAGAGCAGTTTTAAGTCTTTTCTTGGTAGAAGTCTTTAGCTTTAATTTGTAATAATTCATTACAATAGAGAAATATCCTGTTGGGTAATTCTAAAATGTATCTGCAGCCTGTTTCACCTCTTAAACTTCTCTGAAGCAGTGTTTCAGTATTACAAGCTTGTGGTTTGCGCAAGCATTAAATAAACAGTTAGATCAAGCTCATACAGAATATATATATGATTATCTCCGACTGTTTTTTTTGCCACTTCAGGTAAAGAACAACAAGCTGAAAACACAACACTGACTCTTCAGAAATGTCATTAGTTCATCATCAACGCTACTTAAACTGAAATAACAGATGTGAAGGGTTTTACTTTCTTTTTAGTTTTAGGTGTTTGCTCTGCTTGACTGCACGTCTTTGTGTGGATATCAACCTGGTTCTGTTTGTCATTTCCCAGTTAATTACACACGGCCAGTCATCGTGCTCGGACCAATGAAAGATCGGGTTAACGATGACCTCATCTCTGAGTTCCCTGACAAGTTTGGCTCCTGTGTCCCACGTGAGTTTTCATGACAAATCCCAGTAGCTAAAAGAACCTAGAAGAAACCCTGTAATCGTCACCATAAAAAGTAAAGTGAAAGCTATAAATACTGTTTTAGTGTAAGTTTATGGTGCTGACACAATAACATGATGGAAGTTTGTTATATACTCAGTCACATTTTCATGAAGTCAGTGGAAGTTGATGTTTAGCTTACTTTGAGCAGTTTTATTACACTTGTCATTGTTTCCAGACTGTTGCTTGACAGACATCTTGAAAATGAAACCTTGTCTCCCCCCAAAAAGAAAAAAATAACAGAAAATTAAAGGTCAAATGAAAAATGAAATTGAATCAATACAGGAGCCATCTTTCATTTTCTTTAAATTGGCCCAAAAAAAATGAAGTGTCTGCAAAGAATCCATAAAGACGTCATATTTGAAGTAGGCTGACGCGTCATCTTCTCCACCTTTTGATATTACAGTTTATTACTTTTGTTTCAAGCTGGGGTGTACAAGAGTTAGATACTAATATGCATTTTTTTTACCTCCATCTGTGTAAAACCTCAGACACAACACGGCCTCGGCGAGACTACGAGGTGGACGGCAGAGATTATCACTTCATGTCCTCCAGAGAGCTCATGGAGCGAGAGATTCAGGAACACAAGTTCATTGAGGCTGGACAGTACAACAACCATCTGTATGGAACCAGCATACAGTCTGTCAAAGAGGTCGCTGACAAGGTGAGACGCAGGCAAGATGAATGGAAGACAGAATATTGAAAGAAAGCAAATACTACAAAGGACAGACGCAACAGACTGATTAATGACTGAGTACATAGAGCTGTCTGACCACGTGTCTCTCCTTCAGGGAAAACACTGCATACTGGATGTATCAGGGAATGCGATAAAGCGTCTCCAGTTGGCAGGCCTCCATCCCATCGCTATCCTCATCAGACCACGCAATGTCGACAACATCCTGTAAGTGAATATTAACACCAACACTGTGACATAAGCAGCATGCTGTATTTTAACTACACAATTCCTTCAAAAGGTGGATTGAGTGGCTTCTTTTTTAAGCTTTCTACCACATCACATGGTCTTCATCAGCAGGTCGTTCAGGTGTCATAAAATGGTTCAAATACTCCTTTCCTCTGAGTATTTCTCTTGCATGTTGGCTTAATATGCAAACCTCTAAAGTTCAATCCATTTAGCAGCCCTATTTGATATCACACAATTCTAGTCAGCAAATGAACCTTCATGTTCAGCTGTGAGGCGACCATGGATGACAGATTAAATATTTGAACATCTACAACCCTTTGATATCTCAGTGGATTTCATAAAGAATATTTGCTGTAACATTCAGTGTCTGGTGCCGTATTTGACCACTGCTTAACGTCATAGTGAGATCAATCAGGTTACTGAGAGTTTATATTCATGGAAGAGATGCTAAAAATGATTTTTCAAATAAAATCTGTGTCCCTACTCATGACCTTCATCTGTCTTTCTGCAGAGAGATGAATAAGCGTTTAACTGAGGAGCAGGCAAGGAAGACCTACGACAGGGCTGTCAAACTGGAGCAGGAGTTCACAGAGTACTTCACCGGTTAGTCACCTGACACACACGTGTACTGTACATACATAAACTGTTTCTGCTTTATAACATGCGCCATTTGTCAATAATTCCCTGCGTAATGTTAACGGAAGCAGCAGGTTTTTTTTTTTATTGGCAGTTTATGACCTGTGAAGATTTACAGAAGTATTCCATTACAGATTTAATAGAACTTATAAAAAGTATGCAAAAGTCTATAAAAGTTGGGTTGAAAAAGTATGAATAAGATTATTATCATCATATTATTGAGAATATTTCTCCACTATAAATATCAGGATATTGAATGTACTTTTGAAAAAAATCTAACTGTGTGTAGTAAACTTCCAAAAATTGTTCTTTCAGTATGTGATGGTGACATTTTATCTATTTTAATTAAAGTTAGTAAGTCTACCTCAGGATATCAAAGGGTGACACAGTTTCACATAGTTTTGTTGAATTTTTAAAATTAGCAAAAGCCAATAATACCATTTACACATTGTGTGTTTGACTACCTGGGGAGTAACTCCAATATTTACTCTCTTTCAACTATTTTTGGTCTCCACCAAGCCCTGAAGAAAAATATTTGGCTCTCTAGCTGCCAAAATCCTCAACTGTTTTCACCAGCTAGTCTTCACCTTTGTTCTTTACTTTGTTGGTCATTTCTTTCTTTCTCTCTCTCTCTTGCAGCTATAGTCCAGGGCTCGTCTCTAGAGGAAGTTTACTCGCAGGTGAAGCAGATCATCGAGGAGCAGTCCGGTCCTTACATCTGGGTGCCCACCAAGGAGCGACTCTGAATAAACACACATATGGCATATTCACACACACACACATCACTCTCTCAAACACTTCCTACTCGTCTAATTTTCTATTATCAGCCTGCTTCCTCTCTTTCTCGTACACACGTCACCACACACACACATATTCACACAAGCACATAAAGTGGGACGAGGCTGGGACTATCTGGGACCGCTACTTCCTGAAGTGGGAGGAGCTCATGTCTGTCCAGCAGCCTATTGGTGGATCTTCCTACAGCTCGGTTCCTTAATGTTTAAGGAGGTGGTTCAAATCAAGGCAACATGTACCATTATCTGATTTGATTTCATTATTGTTCTTCTTATTGTTGTTGTCGTTGTTGTTTTCATATTAACGAAGGGTAATGCATTCATGTATGGGTTTGTAATGATAATATTGTCACCAAGAGGCAGACTTTTGCACGCTGTAGCTTTAAGAGCATGTTTTTGGGACAAAATCTTGATCTCCTTCCCCGTCTGTCTGTCTGTCTCTCCTCATGGTATCACTCCTGTTTAGAGATTTCTCTTTCCCGTCTTTTTCTATCTTTTTCTCATGCGTCATCCCTCCCTTTCCTTCTTTCCTCTTTTAACACTCTACAATCTTTAGATATGAGGTGAAAATAATTAACAATGTTCCCCGACATTTAGGTACTGAGAGCAAAAAAAAAACAACTATAGTACAGCCTCTGTTTGGAGATGTAGCAAGAAAAAATAAACAGAAACAATTTTGTGTAACGGAGACAGTTGCTGATAATTAATGCAACAAGGAGAAACTCTCAATCAGACATTAAATAGACACTAAATTAGACTGCATGCGAATAAAGTACAGAGTATTTGATCACCGTCTTGTTTGTGGTGGGTCAAAAACACACTGAACCTCATTATGGTGGTGGAGACCATTTGGAGCTCTGGGCCTGATTTTATCACATTTCTGAGAATTTTGTAAAATAAAACATCTGTATCAGGCATCTCACACCAACGTAAAGCAAAGTACAAAATAAGTAAGAATTTAAAAATTGGCTTGAATGAAAACAAAAAAGAAAAATATGGGCACATCTTGGAGAAAAGAATTAAAAAGTCACACAAACATGACTGCAAACAAAATCAGTGCACTTTTATTCTCGCTGTTTAAATCCCTGCCTGATTAGCATAAAAAAACAGAAGTGAAAAGTGGTGTCAAATCTATTAAATGTTAAAATGCAAATTCCAAAATACCCAATTTTGAGTTATACACATTGCTTCTGTTAATGTTTTGCTCATCCTGACCGGTTACATCCGGAGTAGTCGCTCTAAAACACTTACATCAAAGAGCATCTTTAATGAGAGTTTAAATTTCATAATTAGCTGTAGTGTGTGAGGAGTAAAAGTAAAGGATTTTTACTTTTAGCTTCAACAACATTTTTCTCAGCAACTTGATAAATTAGGGGCCAGATTCTCTATTTTAGAAACTTGGATGTGTTTTGTCCAAGTCCTCATCCCACAAAGGCTTCTCAGCCTTTCCTTCCACCTTCTCCTTCTCCTCTCTGTCCCATATCTTCATAGCTCTCTCCTCCTCTTCTCTCCTCTCCACATCCACAGTGTGACGTTAGTGGAGCACTCCTGACATTCAACAGTGTATCATCTTCTTCATCAACGCTATCATCACGATCATAATCATCAGCATCATCGTTACAGCTTTCCTTCTTACCATAGTTGCACTAATGAGGGCTGGTTTCTTAAAAGCATCTTAGCGCAACAGCTGATACCGTCCCAGTGGTTCTGGTTTTTGGATGTGATGATACGATACACTCACTTTTCTTTTAGTGGTTATTATGCCGGTTTGACAACAGGTCAGAGGACAGCTTTTGGTGAAGGCTTTGTGCAGTTTACTCATTTGCTGTACGTCACGCTGTTGCTAAGTATTTAAAAACACCAAATGTACTCCTCCGGTAAAATTTACACTCAGAATACACTGCATTGCTCTTATGCCAACAGGTTTTTCACACTGATTTTTTAAGTTTGAAACTAGTTATATGTTTGACCTCAGCACTCCGTATGTTACTGCAGTTATGGTCATGTTAGCTAAGGGTTGTATCGTCAAAGATGCTTTCATGAATCTACAGATGTCTACTCTCTGCACAGACAGATAAATTGTTTGAACGGGGCTAAACTGGCATTTTAATCCAATGTTTGCGCAGGCCACTTAGCATGGACAGCAGACTGAAATGCACACTTATTTTTACTAACAGATCTGGGGTGAATTTCCAAAATGTTAATATTATATATATTTATGTGTATATATTATAAATGACTGTAGTGAGTTGGTCCAGGGTGTCCCCTGCCTTCGCCCTGAGTGGACTGGGATAGGCTCCAGCCCACCGCGACCCTAGTGAGGATTAAGCAGTGTACAGATGATAGATGGCTGTAGTGAGTTGTTAACTTGACTAACAATATCTTCACTTCACTTGTCTTTTCTTCTCCTCGCTCATGTCGTTCCAGTCCATGTGTGTCTGTTTCCATCATACCAAAAGGGGCCCAAGGACACAACGGAGCGAACATGTGTGTGGAAACAGACACACATGGACCGGAGAAGCAGGGAAGAGCCTGAAAACAGACTCTCACAATGAGCTAAAGTGAAATGCTGCACATATATTCCGTAAAGTACATGAATGAAACACTTTGTTCTTTAATTCTTTGGAAGGTTTTTTTGGACACAGGCTGCTGACCTGCACTTTTGCTTTTACAATGCAGTGTGGGAGAATGCTCTTACAGTCTGTTTTATAGTTTCAAAGGGAAGAACTCACATGCACTAAAATGCTTGCACAGCTGGACCGGCTGCCAAAACATAGAACAGGAAAGCTCTGAGTACAAAACACACAGAGGGAGTGTGACTCCATTCTCTGCTAAGGACACCATTACTCTACTATATCTTTACATAGCTGATAGTTGTTTGCTGCTATATTAATGCTATATTTATGCTCAAAAACATGCATATTGCACCTTTAATAGTACCAGTATGTCACGTGCCCCTTGCTTTGTAAATCTGTTGGTTGTAGCAGTCTTACTGGGTCTTTGCTGCTCGTAGCAGAGAGTGAGGATAAGGTAATAGAGTATATTAAGCTAAAATATAGATGCTTTTACTAATCTGAAGAGTGTTGTGGAGCAGCATTTTTACCACTGTGTTCCTGTTTTATTTGTACGATGCACAAGGATGCCTGTGGGTGGTGGGTTTTACATCTTGCTCATCCGCTGATCAATGATTGGTGGCAGGATCAATAGTGAATGTAAACATAACTTTTGTTCACGAAAAATGCACAGGACGGCGTTAAATGCGTGTCTCTGTCGTAAAAAAAAAAAATCAGAATTTTGGATTAGCCTCAAAGATTTTATCATCCATGTCAGAAAGTAAACATCTCTGAGAACCCTCTGCTAGCTAACAGGTAAAAATTAAACGTCTCTACTTCGAGGGACGCTTCATGTGACCGAGTGAACACGCTGTAACACACTGAGTGCTGAGGTCATGAATCAGACTAACCTGAAACATGAAGATAATCTGTTGTCAAGTGTAACATTCAAGATACCAAGATGCTTTTGGCGACCCAGCCCCTGTATGGACCTTGTCAGCTACCCACTCCCCATCTCCACCCTCAACCCCGAGGCAACTCCTCCAAGCTGACTGGAGACCAGGGTCATTCAGAAAGACTGTTCTGTCAACAGAGTAGCTCTTAGACCCCCACATTGGATAGTTGCGACCACATGTGTTTTGAAAGCTTTAATGTTTCCACAGAGAATGTTCAGCTGAACGAAAATGTTTTCCATCTGTAACCCGCACTGATCAAGTAGATGAGCGTAGCTTGTATAAAAGAAGTGGATGTCACCCATTAGTTTGCGGACTACCATTTTGAAGCATCAAGTTTGGCATTTTGGTCGTTGCCATTTTGTTTTGTTGGAGCCTGAAGTGATGATATGCGGAGAAGAAGATGGATCTGGAGAGGAGCAAGAGGTGAATCTGACTGAGAACTCGAGGACACTATGCACGGTAGCAACTTGTCAACCCCATGGTAGTCTGGCCCTAAAGCAAACCCTGCTTTATCATCTGTTTTACACTAAATGGGACTGAAATTTACTAAATGAACATTGAACTGTGTTGAAGGAGACTTGGAGCTAGCAACTGAGACCCTTAACCCATTAGGAAAATGTTGACCGCGGTAATATATCAAGTGAGAAGTAGGATCTTTTCCCCATAGACTTCTATAGAATCAGATTTCTTTGGGGAGTCGCCTCCTGCTGGCCATTAGCAAGAATGCATGTTTAAGGCGCTTCGACATTGGCTTCACATTTCAGACCCAGAATCTACGTCTACTTCTTTTATACAGTCTATGCAGATGAGTGGTATTTGTCAGGTGACAGAACTGGACTCTCTTTGTGACTCTGGCTGTGTGTTTGAGCCAGGGGACCATGCCACTGTCTGTTAGAGTAAAGCACCGATGCAAAGAATCTATTACAGAGATGGATCTATATCTAACATATTATAATATTTATCCCTGCTCTAACTGCCTATTTTGGTACAAAAAAAATAAATAAAAATCTTTATTGAGATTTACTGAAATCCCTCGACCAATGACCAGAGATGATTATTCTTTTTTTTTTTTTTGCATTGTGGAATGTTTATGAATGTGAATATTCTATAACAACTGTACATATTAATATATTTTCCTTTACTTTCACCTCTACTGTGGGTTTGTAGTAGTCTCTGTTGATTTCTGATGCGACGCTACTTCTCACCTGAGTTAAGACTTCAGCATTGATTTTGTCCCGAACACGGTGGAAACGAGACACATGCCACGGCCACCAGATCTCACACCAGCTGAACACCAGTGCCAGATTTTGGACCAACATATTAAACAACCACCACCGTCATCTGTGTCTCCGGTAGAGTTCCAGCATCATGTGTCTGGTGTCACTGAAGATTCTTAGCTACTGTTGAAATCCAAACAAGATCATCAGTCTCAATGTGAATCCAAAGCAAATCCAGTGGGGTACTGCCATCTTTCATGTTGCCTTTTATTTTGTGAAGCACAGCCTCATAGGATTCAGTCATAAACCTAATTTTGCTGTAATCTTGCCAGCCAGAAAAACAGACGCACTAAGTGGATTCTCAGTTTCTCCAACATCTCTACGTTACTCAGAAGAACCAGCGTTCTACTGAGTACCTGTGCTTTTCTGGCGGATATTTACTACGATTTAGTCATATTTTTATAATTTCACTGTGAAATTATTGGTCATGCTTAACAAATTTATTAGTCCACCTGTCTAATTTGTTCAGCACTGTCTATATGCATACATATATAGATCATCCAGCATCATGAAGTGCTCTAATGCGCTCTCAACTCTCAACATTTTACCATTTTAAACATTAATGAGTAATTTCAAACTGAATTCACCTTTTTATACCCAAATTTGAGCCGACTCACAGCGCTTCACTGAGAAGTCGGAAATGAATCAAGCGCAACATTCAACCACTAAAACTAGTTTTGCTGTTCAGGAATGCAAGTAAATAACTATAATTTGACATCTTAATCAAGAAATAATAATGTTCTTTACTATTTTTTCCATATTTTTTTTTTTTTTGTAAAACCATAAATCTGAAAATTCATGTATACAAACATTAATTATATTTTAGTATTAAAAATATCCTTTTGGCTAAAGAGTTTCTAAATACTGGTGCATTAACCACTACAGAAACATAAGTAATTATTGTGGTAAGTACTGTATGTGTTTATTATTTTAAAGAAACTGTTAGGAAAATTCTTCCGTGGAGTCCTAACTGCTCCAAATCATTACACAAAGTCGTCTCTTAAGTCAAAGCAAAGTTTTACTTGCAGCAAGGAATCACGTGCACAGTACAGAGTCTAAACAAGTGACTACTGAGTCAAGAAACGTTGTAGCATTTATACAGACATACAACAGATATCTCCTCTGCTCCCATCTGATGAGCACAGGCTTAGTTACTTTTTGCAAGTTCTCTGCACGCTATTCTTCACGGCCTTCTGTATTTCAAAAGTTGGACAAAGACCATTGAATCATAAGATGTAACACAAAATTTTTACAACAAACTAATTAGAAATTATTGGAAAAATTATTGGCAACTACAAAAAACAGTTATATAAGCCACACAGTTAAAGATAAAACTGAGTACAGGATAAGATTGTATGGTGTAGTGCACTAAAACTTTATAGTACAAACTACACCTTATGATTAAAATGTATTTGTTAACTACTGCTACAAACAAATGAGACAACAACGACATAACAAACAACCGACTGACTGAATGGATGAAATAACAGTGATCGGCACTGGGAGCAGTCAGTAGAGCCGTGATCAGTTTAGAATCACTTTTGAACTGAGAAGCCAACTGTAATGTTTAAATTCACCCGTTTAGGAGAAGGAAAATGATACTTGCGTAGACTTTGTGGGAGGGAGAGGGAGGCTGCTGCAGGATATGTCGCGGTAATGATCTGCTGGATGAGTTGGTTCAGGAATCTAGTTGTTAAATAGCTGTTTTGTTTACAGCTCTATAATCTCCCTAAACATGAGAATAAAAAGATATCAGACAGGATGTGTTTATCTCATCCTGTGATAATGATAAAAGGTGGGAACATGCATACAAATCTGGAATTTCATGATACATGAACATACATTTCTATTATAACTACACACAAGCATGTACATTCAGTAATGAGAAAAATAAGACTTAAGAATTATTTATGCTGAGAATAATATGTGTTTGTTTGTATCTCGTGTGTGTCCTCCACGAACTCTTCAGATGTGATGTGTTCCTCAGTACCAGTCCAGATGCTGAGGTCATCACTCTGGTGAATTCTTGTATGTATGTTCCATCTGAGTGAAAGTTTGAAGTTTAGCCGTCGTCTGAAATGGTTTCTTACCAAATTTAAAGCTTTGAGAACGGCTCTCTGGATTCTCAGTGTGTTGCTTTGGAATGTGTCTGGTGATAAACTCGGTGCGCTACAGTGGAGAGGGGACATAACGATTGTCAGATTTGGTTTTAAGCTGTATTTTTTTTAGTTTTTTATTTCAGAAAAGCCTTAGTAACAATCTCCACACACACTTTCAGCCTCTGTCCTCAGGTCCAAGGTTCACATTATCACGCTCCTTCAGGTGATCGGGTTCCTGAGTTCAAGTGGCCATAATCCAGTAATCAGGGGTAAATTTCCTGCAATAAAGTACAGTCAAAGTAAACACATACAAATAGAACAAATGGAAGTGGACAGAGAGTCACGCTCAGCATGTAAAGTGAAGAAGAAAAACCTCACTGTTCACATGGAAGTGCTGCATGATTCCTAAACATCTCGTTAAAGTCTCTTTACAGGTATATTGCCTCTACAGCATGCAGATGGGCTGTACGTGACCAATAAGCTGAGTCATGGTCAGGACAAGTGGGAAATACACAATTCAGCTGTTACATACAAAGAAACATGTGGATTCAGCTGTTTAGTAGAAAAAGCAGCTGACATTTTTAGAGAAAGTCAGATTTGATGTTGCGTCCTGACGCCTCGGTCCGACTGTCTCCTCCATGTCATCATCACTCTGTCACATTGTGGCCTGTGAATGATGCAGCAACACGAATGTAATGTGTATCACTAAACCACTTCTATCCCATGTATTCGATTTAAAATATAGTTTAATACTGACTTAATATATATTTAATATTATCATTTAAAATAGCACTTCAACCCTGTTGTCTTATGTCTGGGTTAAAGCACTATCTAGACAGTTGCTCTGCTTTTTTTCTCTTTTTTGGTTTTAATGTCTGTTGGTCCAGACTGGAATATATTACAACTGTTGGATTTACTGCCTTGAAATCTGGTGCACAGTCATCACCTGTCACACAGGAAGAAACCAATGTTAGCGTGCTGTTGTGGATGAGTTTGTAGTTTTAACAAATAAGGGGAATAAACATAGAGTTGTAACTAACGAGAAGATGTTTAATTTTTCTAACAAATAACAAAACTGTAGATTTTAGTGGCCCAAACCCCGAGGCCATCACAATGCTAATGCTTATTGTTCTAAACAGCACATTGGTTAGCTGAAGTTCTCATTTAGTTTACAGCACAACCATGTCACAGCAGCCATGTGTTAGTACTGATAAGGCTTTATTGTTGCTGTCACTGTGCTTGGGAACATTGTTGGAGCCTGAACTTGCACACGGTGGAGCAATCTCGGAAATTATACTTTTTATGGCGATGCCTCCTTCCTGTGTTTCTGTTAAAGACTGCAGAAACAGTTTATGACCATAATCATGCATTATCACATCCTGCCAGATTTGGCATATGTTTATTAAAGTGTTCTGAGAATCAAAAAGGGAAGATGGAGTTTAGGTGAAAATGTCTCGTGCTTTTTTTTGTTTGTTTGTTTGCACCAAACCAAGAAACCATTGAAGTTACCAAAAAAAAACTTTGGTTTTGTATTTTGTAAAAAAAAAAAATTTCCCTTTTCTATGAGTTTATCTTGGTACAGTGCTGCCATGTGAATATTACAACAGATGAAAAACTCATATTCAGTGGGTATTTTGAATTTCATTTTAATTTAACATTGCGTAAATTCTCACCATAAATCATCTGAGAGCACTTCACTCACTACGACAAAGACCTTTTGATTTTATATAATAGATAGAAATCCATTAAATGCAATGATTCCCTTTGAGCAGCTCTTTGGTGGCAAAGGGGAGAGAGAAAAAACTTCTCTTTAACAAGTAGAAACCTTCTGCAAAACCAGGCTCAGGAGGACTGTTTTCTGCCTTGACCAGTCGGGGTGATTATAAGTGGAGAGAAAAGGAACATTTTCCAACATTACAGGTGTCCGAGATTAAAATGCTCTGCTGAGCTGGTGTGGAGCTGGTGTAGCACAGAGAGGTGATTTGGGGGAAATATTTTTATACTATTTTTCAAGGAAAAATATAAAATAGGTTATCTTTTGTATTGGTAGAGTGTAACTTAGGGCATTACTGAAATAGATAAATACATTTTAAGGTACATAGGCTGAGCATTTATATTTAATGCTTGTACCACAAATCATCTGCACTTCAGAGGAAACATGGCAATTTTTACAAAATTCTAGGTTGAGTTAGTTGTGGCATTTAAAATTAAGATTCCACATGTAAGGCACGGGGTAAAATGATTAAACAGATTAAAGCAGTTGTTCCTAATATGTTTGACCTTTGACCCTTCATATAAGAACATTTTTGTGTGGATGTCATGTCAAGAGTCTGGGAGTTGAAAAAAAAAAAAAAAACGACCAGTAAAATCCAAATGAAAACAGGAAACCACACGACTCTGCTCCACCTCTACCAGTAACCACAGATTTACTCAAACTGCTGCATCATTGTCAATAGTCTAATAATAAAATGTTTAATAATTAAGCTCAGGTATGTTTTCTGTAGTATCAGTACCTTTTGTGGATGCTGCTTTACTTGTGTACACATATGTTAAACGTAGGACCTTTGCTTGTAGCTTGTAACTACATCTTGGTGAAACCCTCTGATCCTCCAGAACACGCGCTTGAATTCATTTTCCTTTAGTGACTCTTGACAGATTGTATGATTATGGTTCAGGCTTTCAGGGAATACGTGACTTCGCCTCACTTCTACACAAAAAGAGACGAGGTCAAGGTGAGCAGGTAAACAGACTCCTTTTGTTTGTGCTGTTTGTCTCAG